CTTTGCTGGAGAGAGGGAGCCTCATGTTGTTGAGCTATTGAGATAAGCTGCCAGGCCATGGGGAGACTGCAACCTCTACAAGTCAGCAAAACCTTCCAACACAGATTCACTAGGCCCTTCCATCCCCAAGCAAATACAAGTAAAGACAGCTGAGAGACACTCTCAGACAAAGCAAGTTGTCTAGAAGAAACAGAAAGCAGCTGAGCTGTCTGAAAGGGACCCATATCAACTGAATTACTTGGAATGAATACTCTCCAATCTGTTGAACTGCCTGCATATTGTGCCATATGTTCTAGGTTTCCAGACTTTGTGAGATGTCTCACCTATCCTGGGGTTGGCTTTTGGCTTTGTATCACTTCTACTCCTGCAACTCCAATAAAACTCACTGGTTTGCTAAGTTGGACTTTGATGTAATCTGTATTTTGGTTGTCACTGGTTCCCTATTTGGGGTGAGTAGGAGCTTACTTATGTCTTTCCAGGAATAGTGCCACACAACAGCTTATCCGAGAGCTTTTATTGTATCCTGATGATCAGGAAACTTGATGCAACATGAAAGGAAAGAGAAAAGACAGGAGAGAGGAAGGTGGTAGGTAAGAAAAACAATGATAAACATTTCAATAAATGAAAGGGACTGGAAAAAAGTGGGAACATATTAACGGCATTTGTCAACTTTGGCATCACCCAAAACTACCCTCCCACTCAACATATCATGCTCATATTTTGAGAGGTCTACAAAACTATGGTAATTATTAATAATTTATATTCTTATATATTATCCATCAAAAGCACACACTTCTCTCAGTGTTTCTCTACCACTGGAGACAGTCATAGTTGCTATAATCCTTGCACAAAATGAAATGACCTTTCAGATATCCTGTGCAGGCCTGTGGTAACCTTCTCATCTCCACTAAGCTCTCTAAAATATTCAGCCATCTCAGACTCCTTCCCAAATTACTCTTTTTATGACTACAGGGTTCTGAGGCATCAAAGAATTGCTTGTCCATGGCCTTCCTTTGTCGTTATTTCCCTAATCAACCTGCTATAACATCAGAGCTTCAAAGGGACTAGTTAATGTGATGAACAAGATACACAACACTGATTGCCACCCCATAGTTTTGTAGTTACTAACACTATCAAGAATTACTATCTAGTGGTTTGAGCAAGAAATGTCCCCCATAGGTGCACGCATTGGAATGCTTGGTCCCCAGCTGGTGGAACTATTTGGCTAAGTTATAGGACCTTCAGGGGATACAGCCATGGTGGGTGAAGTACATCACTGTAGGAGGGGCAGGCTTTGAGGGTTTATACCCTCATCCTATTTCCTAATTGCTCTCTGCTTCCTGTCTGTGGACATGACTAATTTCCTGCCCTTGTCAGCATTCCATGCCTTCCCCAGCATGGATGCTAGGCCTCTGGAATCATAAGCAAGAAATAAACTTTCTTCCTTAAGTTCTTTCAGCCATGGTGTTTTAACCACAGCAACAGAAAAGCAGCTGATACAGCCCCCAAAGTATGAGAAATGTTGCCTAAAAACCATGTAAAATGGTACTTTTTTTTTTCTCATAAGGCTTGAAGAGACTCAAATACAATGATTAAGTACAGTAACCCTCAAACTGATATACCAGAATTTCAGATAAGATCATGATAAATTGAAAATGGAACATAAGATATAAAACCTGTCTGAAATGTTAATCAAAAAAGCAAAACCCTGATAAACTGGTATATTACCAATAGTATATCCAATTTGATAGCTCAGCATGTATAAATTCAAAAATAGCTCAAAGATCCCAAAGTGAGTAAAAAGGAATTTTCAGAGTAGATGGTTAAAATGGTACCTTCTATTCAGTTTTTCTTAAGCAGTAACCTATCTTAACAAATGGGAAGAGATATCAATAATTTATCAATGAAAAATAGGTAAAAGCCACATTTAAAGTACTTTTTCTTTTCCTCCCTAAAACTATATATACAATGTTTTCAAACATGCTTGCTCTATGTAAATACATCACCCCAAACCTATGTCAGATATTTTATCTCCTTACCTTACTGGGGTGATCCTATAGAGAAGACCTATAGGATTAATGCTGCTTCCACAGTAGGCTCAGTTTCTTCAGTTTGGAGTTTCCCCAGCTTGTTTTCAGTCTTGCTTTGTTCCAGTATTTTCTATGTTCCCTTTCATCCCTTTTGAAGTTGCAATGCATATCCTGTGCCATTGAATGTTCAAAACATGTGATCTGCTTGTTTTTCCTCCAGGGGATTACAGTTAAGAGATTGCCATGAGTCTCAGAAGAAACTTTGGACTTTCAAATAGACTGTTGTAGATTGTGGGGACTTCTTAAATTGAACTGAATGTATTTTTGCATTATTAAATGGCTACAAGCCTATGGGGGCCAAGGAGCAGAATGTGGTGGTTTGAACAGGAATGGCTCCCATGGGCTCATGTATTTAAATACTTGATCAGCAGGATGTAGCATTTCTTGAGAGATATTGAGAGGTGTGGCCTTGTTGCAGGAAATGTGTCACTGAGGTTGGGCTTTGGGGATTCCAAAGCTCAAGCCAGGCCTAGTATCTATCTTTCTGCTACCTGTGGATCCAATTGTAGAACTTTTAACTTCTCCAATACTATTAGTCTTCCTGCTTGCTGTCAGGCTCCCCACCATGACATTGGACCTCTGAAACTGTAAGCAAGCCCCAATTAAATGCTTTCCTTTATAAAAGTTGCCATGGTCATGATGTATCCTTACAATAATAGGGCACTGTCATTCATCTGGGTCCCAGATTTGTTACCTTTATCATCAGAAAATAACCTAATCCACAAAGATATAATGAAGGCAATAAAAACCAGAACCAAAACAAACAAACAAAAAACTAAAAAACCAAAACTCCCATTCTAAACAATCTCTTGTCAGGCAGCAGATGTCTAAATCCAACACTATACTGAAGGTAGTTCTGTGGTTACAGAAAACAAGAGGCAAAATAGAGGAAACCCTATCATTTGGATAGACCATCTAGCTATATGCCAACTTTAAATTCTTTGGGCCTCCATATATCCCTAAAATGAAACAAGGCAATGTAATTTAATAAACAGTGACCATGTGCATATTATGAAAAGCAGAACCCTTGTTCTAAACTCTTACATCTCTTAAATCCTATCATCCCTACAGCTATTGACTTTTCCATATCAATAGTAATTGTGTTATGAATATAATCAGATAATTCTAAACTTGATTTTAAGGTATTATCAAGTGTTATCAACATTTTAAGTCAAGTATTATCAGAACACTTGACATGTGTTCCATAAAAAAAAGGAGCCATAAACCCCAATTCCATTAACAGTTGTTAAAGTGTGACATGAAACAAAGCCCTTTTTTATTTATTTATTTTTTTGTTATTCTCGTGACTTGGCAATACCAGTTAAAATTCATAAAATTATCACAAGTATACATTAAAATAAATTATTTCAAATATCACAACTATATAGTACTGTCTTTATGAACATTTCACATTAATCAGGTTCCCCTACCCCGCGTGTGAAAAGCTGAGAACTGGAAAAGAATGAATGCTTAACAGAAGCTTTTTCCTTAAAATTTAACTCTTTACTAAACCACCCATATAATGAGCAATCTAATTATTTGTAGAATTTGTCAAATTTAAATCAAAACAGTAGGCAGGATTTAAAGCGGAAATCATAAGAATAGGAGTTTTCTACTGCTTAACTCAATTGCCACCACTGTGGAACAGCTTTTCTCCATTGAAGTAAGAACTGAGGTCTCCACTCTGCTGACATTGGTCCCACACAATAAAGATCATAGCACCTGAAATCCAGAAAAACTCCAAAAGGAAGTGTTGGAAGGCTGTTCAGAGCCATCACAGCATCTTTTACAGAGAATAAAGTTTTTGCCTTCTTGTGTTACTGGTTGTTACACATTCTTTCAAGACAGCTGGTCATGCTGTCTTGCTCACCAAGTCATGCTGATTCAGACATAAAGCATGTTTTGTGGTTACAACTAGCATTCAGGGAAAACCAAGATTACTTTAAGTTTTGACTACATGTCTGTAGAGTTTTGAGTAAGAATGGTCCCCATGGGCTCACATATTTGAATGCCTGGTCACCAAAGAGTAAAACTGTTTGAAGGAATTAGAAGGATTAGAAAGTGTGGCCCTGTTGGAGGAAGTGTGTTACTAGGGGTGGGCTCTGAGATTTCACAAGCCTAGGCCAGGCCTAGTCTCATCTCTTTTTCCCTACCTGCTACATGCAGACCAGGATATGAAGTTCTCAGCTACTGCTCCAGTGCCTGCCTGCCTGTAGCCATGCTCCTGGCCTCTGAAACTGTAAACAAGCCCCAATTAAATGCTTTCCTTTATAAAAGCTGCCTTGGTCATGGGTCTCTTCACAGCAACAGAACACTGACTAAGATAATGTCTACGATGGCTGGTCTGCACTGTAACAAAACCACTTTCAATTTTTCTATAACACTCTCTACACCATAGAATTCTTTATAAACAGTAAGTTTATACTATCCACATGAGACAAGGGGAAGGCTGATTTGCCATTAATTGGTTGCAACGGAAGCTTACATATGATATACACTTTTAGTAAGCAGTGAAGAATTTGTAATTGTGGACCCTCTTCCCCTCTTTTTTCCTTTTTACATTTATCTATCACATGTGCACGCACCACAGCATACATGTTCTGGTCAGAAGACAACCTTTTGGAGTAGGTCTCTCCATCCACCATGTGGGTTCTGGGGATAAAACTCAGGTTGTTAAATTTGTTAACAGGTACCTTTTCGTGCTGAGCCATCTCACTAGCCCAGAATTTATAGTTTTGATTAGCTGCAGCAACTTTGGAATGGTTTTCTAGATATTATTTTAACTCCTAAGAATATCCCTACTTCTCTAATGTCTTTTCTTACCAAACAACCCCATTCCTCAAACAAACAAATAAGAAAAACCAACCAAAATCTCGTAACACATTAAAGCCAAGTTCAATATTTGTTTCTAAAATTTTTTATTCTTAATAGATACCTTTCACATATAGAAACCCTCTAACACCACACATGATTCCAAAACCCAAATGCTTCAATTTTCTCAACATTCTTTAAGTATTTACACTAGCTTCCCTCAACAAAAGTGCAATGCAAACATCTTGACAAGAAATATTTATACAGCATATTTTTGAGCTGCTTTTCATGGAGTCCATTCATTATATTCCCTTTCAATTACCTTGAAAAATCTTAAGTCAACAAAGTATGAAATTGGGCTATGAAGCATCCTGTTTGGGAACCAGACCCTAAACAAAAGTACTTTCTCCTCACCTCTTCTCCAATCTTCCAACTACAATTACTCAACAAGTGCTTCCTTCAAGGAATTAAACAAAAAACCAAACAGGTTAGACAACAGGCACAGAGCAGACTGAAATGTGAGCCCTGGTGTGGTGAGATGACATGAAGAACTCAGAAAGGTGGTCTAGCAAGTTATGGGTCACTTTGTTAAGTTTTAGCATTTAAACATGTAATATTCTTCCTTCATAAGTTAATTTCCCCCAGAAAAGTATGGAAATTTCCTTTACTTAGGAAAGGGAACCCCTTTTACAAAGATTGGAAATTAAAGGATGCTGGGGAAGCTCTTTTGTAATGAAATAAAGTCTACCTTTAAGGTATAAGCCAAATTTTACCAAGTGCTTCCCATGTGATTGAGTGATCAGATGAAAGCAGAGAGCTAAGATGTCCTGAAGAGAAAATAATCGGAAATTAGCTTCTTTCAAGATAGGAGCAGTTACTTTTAATTGCTCAAAGTATGGAATTCTTTCAAAATAAATGACTGAAAATGTTAAAGTAGATAAAAATCACTTTACTACTCATGGGAAAAACAAAAAACAAAAACAAACAAACAAACAAACAAAAAACCCCAGAAGTTAGGTCTCCTAGATGACTGATGCCCGTTCATATCCCAACTTCAACAAAAGTGGTATTTCCTGACACATTCCAATTCTAACCAATGTGTTCACGCAAAGTTTGGTAAAAATTAAGATCAATGCACTAAAAGGCAAAAGGTAAGTATTAGAATATGGGACTCATGCTTCTCTTTTTTTACTTTATCATCAGCACAATATCAACAGCAAATGTTATCCAATTACAGTGAAACTTCATTTGGGGGCAGAAAACAATCTAAGAAGCAAGAACAAGATGTGGCTTACAGTCCCACAGTGTTTTTGATTTTTTGTTTTGTTTTGTTTTTTTCTAAATCTAAAGAACTCACTGGGTGCAATGGCTAGGAATACTTCAGAACAATAATGAAATTTTACTAGAAAATGTCAATAGGTTAAAGAACAGCATTAGTATTTATTTTAAAAATTGGAAACAAACATGAAGACAAATATGGAATCTGAATAGAAATTTACCAAATTTTAACTTTTGTGTACAACAGATTCATATGTGTACAGTAGATTCATAAGGAAACAGCTAACTCATAATTACAGCTTTGTGTATCACAGAAAAATTTGCAAGTATTATGTCCTATAGACCTCATGAAATTGCATTAGACACCATCTGACCAATGATGATTTCTGCTTGTCCTAGGCAACTGGAGCATTTCTTGCAGATGTGAAACTTTTCAGCTCATCAAACACTAAACCAGAAGTAACAAACCAACTGATGAAGAAGAGTTTTAGTTTAGCATAGGTTATTTAATGTTATTGTTTCAAACAAAACACCAAGCACTTCTGTAGAACCTAAAACTCATTGGCAATAATGCTTAGACAATTATGAAAAGAAAATCCCTTGGGGATGGCATAAACCAAGTAAGTGATATAAAATTATTTACATGAATCCCACATTTACCTACTCATTAAATGATTATTTTTAGTATTCTTTTAATGTATATTTCTGTGTCATACTTGAAATTATCAAATTCCCTCATGAGAAGTAATTCTCTAATTCTAATTCTATAAGGGGTGTCTTCAGCACATTGAAGCCACCAAGTTCTAGTGAACAGGAGCTGGTTTTGGAATACCTGGTGTTCTGTATATAATTTAACAACAACAACAAAAAAAAAACAGTAAGGGATCATGGGAATCTTCAGGATAATCTATTTTCAAATATGCTCTTTGCATAATGTTGCAAAATGAAACATACTTTTAAAAGAATAAGAGCTGTTCTTCTTCATTCCAACCAATTTCCCCTTTTTTCTTCAGGTCAACTCTGGTTTTGGAAACTGAGTATTAAATGGGTTTATGTGGCAGTAGATATATGACAAGTGTGGCACGACTAGTTCTGTAGCACAGTTAGGCTAGAGGTTTACTTCCGAGAAGATCTGGGTATCAAACAATTACTTCAGCAATGCAATCTGTAAATGATACCCATCAAAACCACAGCATGTGCAGATTTGCTGTAGGTTTTCTGATTGATTTCTAGAGAAACAATTCAAATAAACAAGTTTTGTCTTCCTGCCCTCATGATTCAGTGAACATCATTTCCAATTTCACTTCACAAGACCTGCTATATTCAGCTCACCTAAAACATTTGTAACAGCAACAGTTTTCAAGTGTCATATAATTTGGATATTATTTCCAGTATGAAAACTGTTAACTTTTATAAACAGTAAAGACAGAGCACTCAGCTCTACTCCCAAATCACCTGTCAGTGGAGTAAATTGCACCTCAACCTGAACTGAAGAACAGAGTCCAGGTAGCCTAAGCAGCACTGGCTCTCCAGGCTCAGACTTACATTCACTTGTCACTCGTTTTCCCCAAGGCCCAAGCATCTGACAGCAGATCTCTACCAGAGAGCTAAGTAAAAGCTTCCTCCCAACTCCCACAACACCTTTAGTCTCACCACAGAACCCACACCTAAATGTCATCCATCCTTCCTAAAACTGCATCAGAGATTCTGCAGGAGACTGAAACCCTACCAAAACCTGCATGACTTCCCATTTGGGATCCAGTATTAACCACATACTGACATTTGGGAATCAAGACAGGGCAAGGGGAAGCCCTCATTTTAGTGGCGCAAATATACAAAGTAAACTCTGCTTTAAATTAGAAAAGAAAGTAATGTCACAGAATGTTTCCCTATAAAAGATATGTAGTAAAGTAATAATATCAATAAAATAGCTATTACTAAAGCAAAGCTTTCATCAATAAGCTTCGAGAACTTTGAAGGAGGAGAATGGCTTCACAAAATGGTAGTCCAGGTTCCCACAGTGTGGACACTGCTGGACATTGCTGTACTCAGAGAAGTACTGCATCCCGATTCGTACGTCGATCACAGGCTTGCCACAGTGCTTGCAGTTCAGACGGGCCTGGGGAAACAGACATCATGAGCCACAATGCCACTGGCTTCACAACACTAGTCAAAAGCCATCTAATCAAAGTGCTGGGAACTGACTGAAATTCAGTAAAGCATCTCCATTTCTATCAGAATAAGAGTGTGTACAACTAAGGAACACATTCTGGCATTCATCATTATCCTTCTAAAGATTACAGTCTCCCTGTTCTCTCTTAATATGAGGTGCCTAGCAATGAGAGGATTCTAAACTGTACTACCTGAACATCTCCACCAGTCACCTAACAGCAACCATCTATCCCCTAGATTTTAGGAAGTGGCTGAAACTGGTTCCCTGTACCCAAACCTACATGAAAAACTTTCCCGAAGAGTCCAAGTTTATTTCAAAAGCTTATATATACTTTCATTTGATTTGACATAACACTATTTGATATAAAAATAAAATCTCTCTAAAATATCCAATCAAAATTGGCAATCAAGGCTCAAGTCCTTTGTTTATCTTGAGACTTCTGGAACTCACTAGTATATGACACCTTCACCTGTACCTGGGCCTCTAACAGCATGATCCTAGAGCCCTTCAGCAACAGATCTGGGAGTGAAGTACATAGGCAGAAGTTACAGATCAAACAATCTTAATTTAGATACTTCCTAAAAAATGTGCTAACAAATTTGTCCTCAAAGCATTCCTGTGAGGGAGTATTGTCTACATTTCAGATGATAAAAAGGGACACACAGTGATAAATACCATGCCCAAGAAAATGGAAAGCAGAACAGTCAGGATTTAAACTAAATTGCACATTACAGCAACACACAGACTATCTTTCTACAACCTAAAATGAACTCCCTTTTAACTACTTCGTCCCTCTCTGAGTCTGGAGTATAAAGTTCTCTCTAACCTGTTACTGCTTATTTTTACCTCAGACTTACCTAAAATCCTTAGTAGTCTCTACTACTACATCCCCACAGTGAATACTTTCAATTGATTAATAATAAATAAGTAATCAAACAGGTTTTCCATTTCAGTTGGGGGTCAGAAAATATAGTCTTGGCACACATCAGTTTAAAGAGTAAATATGCAGTGTATACTAAAGGGCTGGTGGGCAGGATGCCATTGTACATTTCTCTTTGAAGATATGGAAATCCCATAGCCTTTCTACATGTAGTAAAAAGAAGACCAGAAGAGGAATCACAGGTTTTAGTCATAGCCATGACACAATTTGTATAGACCTGAGCAAAACATTAAAAAAAAATTTGAGTTTTCTATTATAAGGAACAACTCAGCAGGCTGTGCAAGGTCCCATGCAACACTAAGATGTTATGAGTTTTAACAGGCTCAAACCTTTGTTCACTTCTTTATTTCCTTAATTAAAAGGCTAATGTTCATGCTACATCACCCATGTGCAGAGAAAGATGCCACCTCCTTGGTTTCTTTCCTTTTAGGAGTGGACATTGAGGCACAGCAGTAACCATAAAACATGATAGTGATTAACTAGAAGATTATGGTAACTCATTTTCAAAGCTAACACTGAATCTGGAAATGTAGTCAGTATACCACAAAAGCAGAAAACTAGTCAACCTTATAAAAAACCAAAAGACAAAAAAAAAAAAAAAACCACTGTCCACCTCTCTCATGAGCATTATTTCTCCTCTGGAAAATACTAAAATGGCAATAAAGAGTGAGAGAAAGAAAGGAGAGAGAGAGACAGACAGAGGGAGGGAGGGAGGGAAGGGAGGGAGGGAGGGAGGAAGGGAGAAGGGAGGGAGGAGAGCTGAACAACTGCCTCTATCAGTCTTTGAACTTAGCAGAAACTGGTCATCTGAACAAATTGGTAATAGAAGGAGAAAATGTCTCTGCTACCCAGGACTGCCTACTAAGGAATTATGTAACAAATTCTTCCTTAAGCATGTGGGATAATAAATTCAGGTATTCCTGGGGATTTTTAACTTCTTAGCTTCTTATTTAAAGGGGTTTTGTGTCAACACCTCCCTCCTCATCTTTTGACAGCTTCAGGTGCTCCTAAGAGTCAGAGAAGAATGCTGCTCTTCTATCACTTTAAGAATTACAAATCTTTCTAGTCAAACTCTCACAACTTAATGAGAGGCTGGAGTTTTGCTAACTCTTACAGAAAGTAAGCAAGAGGAAATTTTTGTCTATTCTAGAAAATAAAAGTTTCCTTTTCATTTTAAATTATAACCCTTTTCTACAAATGCAGTACAAAATGAGAAAATTATAAGCAAACCAAAATAAAACTAAAGAAGCCATGCATAGAAATCTAACCCCAGACCCCTAATCAGCTGCAGGACTCAGCAGTGCTTTCCATGCTTAGTTACAAATGGAAGCAGGGTATTCTGATGGTTTGTAACATCTTTTTCTGACATAACACATGGAAAATACTCCAAGCCTATTATTGTATATATTCCTTTGACTACATAGTGTTCTATCTCAAGGTAATGACACAGGCACCTGAATTCTTCACCCTCAGAAGCACCTTCTCTAATCCCTCGAAACACCCTTCAAGAGAATCACAAGGCAGCCTTAAACCCTCTAAGTTACCTTGGTGACAGAAGCCCAATGTCACCCACTGCATCTTCACTTCACTTCAGTTGATACCAACCTGACAGCAAGGAGAGGCAGCCAGGATGTCATAGGTGTACATGGTACCCAGCTGGTGCCAGCTGCCATCCCACCGGGACTTGCACTTGATGCAGACGATCTTGTGAACCCCTTCCAGGCAGTCCACACACACTGCATACAGATGCATGAGTCTCCCTGTATACAGAAAGCACAAGGCTGAGGGTGGCTATGGTGGAAAGAACCTTAATCTCCAGTGACAATAAAAATTCTATCAACAACAAAAAGCAAACATTTTATCATTTGAATTAATATGAAAAGCAAGGCAAATGGCTTCCATAATACATCCTTAAGCTGTCCCTGTTATCCTAACAGTGAATGATTGCTATCAATAAGACAAATTTCAAATTTATTCAAAATAGACACTTGCTTTAGTTGACTTTTCTAAAATGTGCTACCCAGCTTATAATGTCTGTCCATGCAAATCCAAACAATAAAGCCACATGCTTATAACCAGCCTGTAATCATCAAGATTCTCCAGAGTCTATATGTGCCATACCAACATGAACCAACAACACTGGTCTGATGAGCTGTAACCCAGCCAATTTCATCCCAAAATGCCTGACTTTGTATTGACATCCCAGAATTTTACCACAGCCATAATTACTATGTTAACTGTCCTTGTTCCCAAAACTGCTCAGCTATCACCACAGCTAATTTAGGAACTAGAATTATATATTACTTGTGATGCATTAGAAGTCCAACATATTATTTACCGGCCTTTTAAAAGTCACAACCTCATTCCTTCACTGTTTATCAAGGACTTAATATTTATAAAGGAAAGAGGGCATCCAATTATATGAAAGGGTAAAGGTTCAAATAATTAGTATGTACAGAATGACTAATTTCTGGGCAATATGTAACAGCAACACTGTCAAGAACAGGGAGCACACTAGAACACTGTCAAGGACAGGGAAACACTCGAGAACACCACCTAGAGGAGGGAGAACTCTAGAACACCACTGAGGGAAGGGAGAACTCTAGAACACCACTGAGGGAAGGGAGAACTCTAGAACACCACTGAGAGGAGGGAGAACTCTAGAACACTGCTGAGAACAGGGAGCACTCTAGAATACCGCTGAGAAAAGCACCCCAGAATGCTACACAGTAATTTCTTATTCAGAATGTGCTGCTGCTCTCTAACAAAAGTCAGCTCTTTGCTTCTAGTGCAAAGGCACCTAATGCATTTGCTTACGTGGACCTCTTTTTTCCTTCAGAGCAGGAGCCATTTCTCCTTCATTTTTGTCAACTCAGTGTCCAGAACAATGTCAGGAATGTAAAAAGCTCTGTGTGCTAAGTGAATGGATGGAGCATGGTAACAGCTATCAACTGGGGTTGGGGGCCGTTCTAGGCCAAAACAAGGAAGAGAAGGGCTTTTTGCAATATACCCACCTCTTTTCTAAAATGGTGAAAACACCGTCTCACATGATATACACACTGAGTGCCTGGTATCCAAAAGGCAATTCAATTACCTGTGAGCAACTGACACACCCAGTTTCCTCCTTGGTCCTACTTGTAATGTTCACTGGCATTACGGTGCTATTAGAAGTTAACACCACACACTGAAGGTGCCTGTAACAATGGCTGTGATGATGAAGACAATGAGCATTCACTGTACTATACCATGAGCACTCTATCAATTACTGCATTTAACTCTCACTGCAATACTACACAGGACTTATTATTGTTATTCCCATTTCAAACAGGAGGGACAGATACTTAAAGAGCCTGAGTAGCAAAAAATAATAAGGAGCCAAGACCAAACCCAATTCATGTCTTTCTTGACCTCTTGACTCTTACCCTATAGGCAAGCAAACTATTGGGAAGCCTGAGTCCAAACTTAGTTTCTGAACTTATTTTCCATTGCTATTCCATCATGTGCTATCCAGAGAATTTATGAGCCATAGGAAAGATGATTCTATAAGCAAAGCCCTAATGGGACAATCACATATAATAATACACAGTAGTGAAGAAATTAAACAAGTCCTTCTTAACTACACCAACCTTAAGAAGACCAAACTATTTTCTGAATCAGAGAGCAGGGGCTAGAAGCAGAGCTGGGAGGGCCAGAAGGGGTAAGGGGCAGAGCAAGGGAATAACAATCCAAAGAACAGAGCAAACATCTCGGCAACATATCAACAGTGAACTAGGGAATCCCATAGCCAAGAATGTGGCTATTCTGTTGCAACTGAAAATGCTTTAAAGTGTGGTTGGAATAAGAACTTGCTATAAATAAAATCACCCCATCTTCTAAGGTGCATCAATAGAAACACTGACCCATGAATAATGCCTTATTTGTGGTACTGCTGACTTCTCTAGTATTCATTAACTCCCTTGACCACAGATCCTAAAACCAGAAGTTATTTGTCAGTACCTCTGTAGAGTACACTGAACACAACCATTATCTGTGTATGCTTACAAAGAGTGTGAGTACAGATTTATAAGTAATTCAGGCTTATCTAATTTCTCCCTTTCTCCATCCCCTCCCTGATCAACACCCTCAGGATTTAGTTTTGAGCTCTATCAAAGCCAATTCCTCTTCTCTTTTCATTTAAGAGCTTTTTTATTGCCAAGATTTAGCCACTGATTTAAAATAAGCTTCAACGTGCTCACCCAAAATGCTTGTTTCTAACAGTACTTGTTAAACCTCCACAGAAAATTAATTAAACATATACAAATGATCTCACCTTTTTTCCCATGAAATCATGGCCTTTGCCAAACAAACCTCACCTACTCCTACCTGTGAAAACATCATTTATCTGGTCTGGAATCAAGGTGAACTAAAGAAGACCCTTCATTTTTACAGTCAAGAGTATCCAAATCTGTAATCTCCCTTTTAAAAAGTCTCCTCCTTTATATTCTGAGAAAATAGTTTTTCATCGTCATGCATACAGCTGTGACACAGCTTCAACTCTGTCTCTAGGTCCCTAGCCTTTAGAGCAACTTCTTTAGGTATATTATTATATGCTTGTTTGCTTTTAAATGCTGAAAATAAAATCTCTGAATTCATAATCACATGGCAAATGGTTTCTACAATGTCTTGAAAATACAGACACATACACCCCAGGCCCCAGCCTGCTCTCCCCATCTCCAATTAATTTTCTACTCTACAACATTTCCAACCAAACATCTCCTGATCACAACCTAGTTGGTTTTCTCTTAACCACTGTCCTTCATATTGCCTTCATATTGCCTCCTGAACAACCACATCCAAGTGGCCCTTTCGTCCATTTTGATGATCGCAGAATATTCAATGTAATATAATGTGTACACATTATTTACTAATTTCATGTTGTGATGCTATTAGTCAGTCTTGGGCTTAGTACAGTTAGTTATATTTTATAAAATGCATTTTATATACCAATATTTTACATTGGTGACCTCACTTAGCACATGTGCAAAGCTTGACAGACAAATGAATACTTGATGGACATAAAAATAAATGTGTCCATCATAAGAACCCTAATTCATTTCTATAAAGTATGGTACAAGTTTTAAGGTATAGAAGTAAAGGTATGTTTACTCATTTCCTCCTAAAATTACTAACAGTTATGCTAAATAGGAAACAAAAACATAGAGCCTGCCCCCCCTTACCCTGTGCCCTACCCTGCCCACTGTCCGGCCTCTCTGGTTGGCACTGGGACAGAGGGTGGAGCCAAAGTCCACACTACTTCAGGGGACTTCTCGGAGCAACTCTGAACACAAGAGACCTGGCTATCCACTCAGGACGACCCTTAATTCCCACATGCTTGGTCTCTGATCCCCATCTCCAGTCCTCTGCTGGAGTCCTGGGCCTGTCCTGGAGATCTGTCTATATTTGCAAATCCACTCTGAGTTCCCGCGAGCATCTACTACTGGATCCTCATCCCTTACCACATCCACAGGTCCCTGTCTGCAGAGAGACCACCTAGAGAGTTTGGGCCACCCAGAGCTATAGACATTGAACCTCTGACCCACATAAGCCCACCAGGGAAGTACCATAGAGAGAGACCAGACCAACACCTACTGGAAGAAGCTATGGGAAGAAGGCAATACAAGAGAACACCTAACAACAGAAAGACAAGCATGACACCACCAGAATCTAGGGAATCTACACCAACTAGAATGGAACAAAACAACAAAGCAGAGGAAGCAAAAGGGAATGACTTAAAAACTGCCTTCATAAAAATGATAGAAGCTCTCAAAGAAGATGTGAAAAAAATCCCTTAAAGAAATGGAAGAAAAAAACAAACAAAAAAGTGGAAGAAATGAACAAATTCCTTAAGGAAAGTAAAAAAAAAGTACAGAAAGCCAAGAAAAAACAATTAAGCAGGTGAAGGAAATAGTTCAAGACTTGAAAACTGAAATTGAGAAAATAAAGGCAACACAAACCGAAGAAATGCTGGAAATAGAAAAACTGGGCAAAAAAAAAAAAAACAGGAACTACAGATGCAAGCATAACCAACAGAATTTAAGACATCGTAGAGAGAATCTCAGGTGCAGAAGATAAACTAGAAGAAATAGATTCATTGACCAAAGAAACTCATAAATCCAACAAATCCTTAACACAAACTATCCAGGAAATGTGGGACACCATGAAAAGGCCAAACCTAAGAATAATAGGCATAGACGAAGGTGAGGAAGCCCAGCTCAAAGGTGCTAAAAACATATTCAACAAAATCATCGAGGAAAACTTTCCAAATCTGAAGAAGGACATGCCCATGAAAGTACAAGAAGCATACTGAACCCCAAATAGGCTGGACCAAAGGAAAAAAAAAAAAACCCTCGACATATAATAATCAAAACACCTAGCATACAGAATAAAGAAAGAATATTAAGAGCAGAGAAGGAAAAAGGACAGGTAACATATAATGGCAGACCTATCAAAATTACACCTGACTTCTCCATGGAAACCCTCAAGGCCAGAAGGTCCTGGATAGATATTCTAAAAGTATTAAGAGAACACGGATGCCAGCCTAGGCTATTATATCCAGCAAAACTCTCAATCACTACAGATGGAGAAAACAGATATTTAATGACAAAACCAGATTTTCCCAATATGTATCTACAAATCCAGCCCTACAGAAAGTATTGGAAGAAAAACTCCAACCCAAGGAAAGTAACTACACCCACAAAACGTAGGCAACAGATAATGCAAC